GCTCAGTCTCCCAGAGTCAGCAATTTGGTCTGTTCCTGGTTCAAAATACAGAATCTCTGCCTCGCTGGGATAAGACTGGGACACCCGAAACTGCAACTTTTTTTTCCCAGCAGAGCACTGGAAGAGGATGAAAGGGCAGAAAATTTGCCTGTTCAGGCACTCTATGCCCTCACTCCTGATATTGAGAATGAGAAAAAACTATTATTGTATTTGCTATTCTCAAGAAAGAATGCTCCAATCAAAAAAAACCAAAACTGAAAATAAAATAGCAATCTGAAACACCCCACCATGTTCCAATACCTGAAGCTGTTAACCTCAGTTATGTCTTCTAGGCTCACCCAACTCCTTACTGACAAGTTGGAAATAAAAACATATACGTTGCAAAAGAACTGGGGAAAAAAAGCAAGATCTTAGCCTACTGTCAAGGAAGGAAGAAGATGCAAAATGAGCATTTTACAGCTATTCTAACAATTCCTACAGCAATCAGTTTTGTATCCCTCCTTAAAAATTGTTCACTGGGTCCCACAAATGCCTTAGAGAAGTTGCATTTTGACTTCAAAGTTGATGAATAAAGGTTAGCTGAGGATGCACCAGTGATAAGTATGGAGTAAAGCTTGACCTTTGCTAGAATTGAATGCTTTTATTTTGGTTAATGATTTAATAGACACAAATTCCTTGAAACTCATCCTAAAGTTCCTAGGCAACAAAAACTAGCCATATTACATGAAACAGGATAGACAGAAGAAACCCACAGGGTTCTGCATGCTCTTCCTGTTTTCCACCCCCCATGCAATTCTGAGGACATGTTTACATAGAACTTTACATATCTTTATGACCATTACTTCGTTGCGTAACACAGCACTGTTGGAACATTGGCCAAAGCTTCGTCAGATGAAGAAAAGGCAGATCATTTTATAGCTATCGCATGTGAAAAAAAAGCTGGAGAAAGCTTTGATGCCTGCCTGGAATAACACAAAACCATTTGTAAATAAAATCCTATTAGAAACATCAGATCCTGGGAATTACCCATGATTGCTTAGCGGTTTTATTGAAATATAAGCCAGTACCAAGTTCAATTAAAACTTTATTTAAGAATGTCACCTATACTTAGATTTAAAGGCAGGAAATAACACAAAACCTGTCAGGAGAGCAAGAAACTGTCTTTTTTCAATGTCGTTAACATTCTTTGGCAAGTGACACATTAGACTTCTCCTGTACTAAGTATCTCTGCCTTCATTCTCTCCTTACCAAATGCTCTCCCTTAAATAAGCTGAAACACAGGAATGAAGTTAAGATGACATTCAAAGCACTATCCCTCTTTTGTTTCCAACCTCCAAGCTATTCTGTGACCCATGGCCATACATCTCCCTGTATTTTAGTGTATTGATTTGTATGGAACTATTCCAAATACTTTTAAATACTTAAGGTAGAAAATTATGTGTGAAAACTGAAACATTAATTATGAGCTTCCTTTTTGAAACACATGTATGTGTTTCCATTATGTCTGATCTCAAATAAGAGTTATGTTCTTCCCATGTAGTTGCAAGTTGATACACCAACACCCCCAAGACACCCCAGTTTTATCCTTGGGATTTTACATTCTCTTAACTTTCTAATAAGTCCATATTACATAGACCACGTATATGAAGCACACAGGCGTTTGTTATACTGAGGAATTCCTTAGTCAAAACCAATATTCTTTGTCTTCAGCCCTCTTACGTACCTTCTGAGAGATTTCTCTCAGATTTCTAAGCAGGTCCAAATAGTTTGTTTGACATTGGCCAATTCATGGATACGGGCCAAACATACCAGTAAACTGCATACAGAACACTGTAAGGCATGCCACAGCATAATTTATTTTTTTGGCATGCAAATATGTGCCTATACTTCCACAGGAAAAAGCAGTGGAGAAAATAACCATCACAAGTCCCACTTGTGAACTACCCACGTTCTTCAGATGTACTCAGTTTAAATGTAAAACAAACAGAAGAAAAATAAAATTCTAAAAAGCTGCTTATATTAGCACTTTCTGCATTAGAAAAAAAAAAAAAAAGAAAAAAAAAAAGCCAGCTTGAAAGTCTGGTGGTTTATACCAGATCAATGTTAGATTTTTACAACCAGTTTGTATAAGAACTTTCTCATCGGAAAAATTTTCCTGCTACTATCACTCATTCTCCTGTAGTTAGTTCATTGGTAGCATTGGAGCTATTCCAAATACTCTTTGTTACTTAAGGTAAACAAAGGTGTCAGAAGCAGGTTCATCGATAAAATCATATGAAATGAGAAAAAAAAAAGTCATGAAGGCTTAAGGAGAGATAGATAAGGAGTCAAACAGTGTGGAAGATTAAAAGATACTCGTGACATTCTGAAAACAGCACACTGGATGCAAAGTATCTCAGTGGGAACTTCTGCAGTGTATGAATGCCTACAGTTAAAGCAAAGACATTGGCTGACTTTTGAAGATTATTTCAAATCAGATTGAGGGTGGCTACTGATTCTAATCCCACAGCATACAGAACTGTCTTTCTGCCATCCACTTGTTTGCAACCAAATATTAGGTCTCTAATACTTCTGAAAGAGCATCTAATTTAATAGTAAAAACTCAGTGTCTTAGACTCTGATAGACTACCAATTTTTTATATATAATTTGCATGAATTTAAATGTCGTATTCATAATGTATTAATATTATTAACTGTGTTGATTTTTAGTGGCACCTTTTCTTTAATACTTTCTTAGCAAACAAATAAATATGTAACACATACCTCAAAACTGACAGGTATATTGCGCTTCAAAGCAATTTCAAACACTACACTGATCTCAGACTTGTTTGCATCTTTATCTTCTTCTGATTCTTTTCCTGTTTCTCCATTCTGAAAATGAAGAATACATAGTCATATTACAATTTTTAGAAGATGAAAAAAAATGTATGTTTCTCCTCCGATTTCTCAAGGAGTTTTGGGTTCTCCTGTCATGCTGTAAATCAGCATTTGTACATCCATCTCAGCACCCCATTATCAGACACCTGCTGACTGTGAAGCCATATGCAATGCACTTATGCTTCATAACAAAGGAACACATAGACATTAATTTATAAATAGCAAAATAACTTCATGGATTTTAGTCTTATTAATGACATGGATAATGATCATCTGAATACACACTTCTTGTGTCAAGCATGAGGATCAAACAGATCCTTTGAACCTGCTTCTCAGTCTCTCTGTGGGTACTCCTTCCAGGCAAGGAAGAAGTCTTCTGTACTTCTGGGAAAGTACACAAGACTGTACTTCTCTCAGAAGAAGTTCAGTGAATCATCCCCACACTTTGACTGGGTCACCAGGTTACAGGTGTCCTCAGCAGGTCCAGCTGGTTAATGGCCCCTCCATTGACTTCCCTCTGAGAGTTCTGACCAGTGTGAAAAGGTAGTGACAGAGAACAGCTTGCTCAACACAGAACATTATTTATTTATCCATAGGAACATAATAAACAGAGAGGCTAAGAGATAAAACAACAAAAGGCACATGCAAACATTATCCTGCCTAAAATTCAGCTTTGCTTTACACTTTAGGTAAGTCTTATTTTTCTCAAGACAACCACCATCATGGGGATCAAAGGGTTATTGCCTTCTGCAACCGCTACCTTTTGGTGTTTGTCCCCCAGGCCACATCTTCCTTAGTTCTCAGAGGTTTCACTTTCAGCTACTTTCAAACGGCAAAGCTCTGAATGTTTCAAACTGGGATCTCTCAACAAGCATGTAACCTTGGCCAGGCTCCTAATTTTTTATTAGTGGAGGTAAACATCAAAGAAACTTGGGGTGAATTAGGTGGATTCCTGCAGAGTTCCCATCTTACATAACAAAGTCTGATGTAAATCTTCAGCCACCAGCGTAGCTACAAATGCAGATGCTGAAGTTATGACATTAAAAAGCATTAGGTTGTTCACATTAACAATAAAATTTACCAATCTTTTATCTACCATTTGTTAACTCTTCATATATTAATCTTTAAGATAATGCAGGACCAAAAATTCAGCAGTCAGCTACAGCATGCAGACTTGGAGCACTTTTTGTCCCATTAAATGGTTGCAAAATTTTTGCGTCTGAAAAAGCAATTTACATCCCTGACACTGATACAATGCTAAATATAAAACAAACATTTACAGAGTTTATAGAACCTGCTGAAAAAAAGGGTGCAGTGCAGAGCAGTAACAAAAGTAGTTAGAATGAAATTATGTAGGACCTCTAGCTCATTTCATATAATGAAATATAAAGTACCACTGAAATCAAGAATGCAGGTCATTATTTATAGGACAGGCAAAGCATTGATTAGGTTCACTGAGAAAGATCAACTGAACAGAGTTAAAAGGACAATATTTAAAAGTAAAAATATATTTTGGGGATATAAAGAATATCAAACATGAAGAGTGGGGTACTACTATTCTGTAAAAAACCCTAGTGAGAATCTTACTCAGTATTTTATTCAGTTAAGTTTTTGTTTTATAAAGGCCACTGATAAACTGAAAAGCTAACAAAAAAGCCACAAAGATGAACTACTGATTACAAAGAAATAACTTTACACTGAGACACTATGGAAACAATCAGTTCTATAAAAAGATTAAAATTTACTTAAGCATGACCTGTAAATGTGTATGGGGGAGACATTTTTTATAGCTCTATGTTACATTCAGCAAAGATAACAAAATATCAGTTAGATAGAAAATGAAGCTAAATTAATTTAGAAGAAATACCTTGCAAATTATCTTTGAAATGGGGAACAATCAATCACTGGCATAATTTGCATAAAATAGTATAAAGCCCACTGGACTATCACCATGACTTTAAGTCAAGAATGTTTAGGTTTTCTAGCTATACTCTAGCTTAACCAGATATGTAGAGTCTAATGTAGAAATTACTGTTTAAAATTTCATGATTAATACAAACAAAAAGGGTCCATAAAATCCCTGATTGTACCTTCTGCCCTTACAATTTAACTCCTTGCATCTTCTTCCACCACAGTACAGCCTAACCGTGAGTGGAGAATAGGGAGGATCATACACTTTAAGGCTTAGACGTTCGTCCTGAGCAATAAAGATTCAAGTCTTAGTCATATGACTTCCCTTAGGATGATAAAATATCAGAAGTGTCCCAAGTACTTTGGATTTAAATTTAATCCTCATTCCACAACTGACACTTTAATTGTAAGGCCTTTCTTAGCCTCACAGCCGCGAGACAGCAGAGTTGCTTTGGCAGACACACAATAGCTCTTTCATGAAAGCAGGTTCACATTCACCTGTAACCCTGCCCTGTTTGCTGATCGCTTCTTGTTTCTGCTCACCTTATGCTCTTCTACCTGTTTGTGCAATGAAGTATTAAGATGGCAATATTCCTCTTCAGTAGTTTAATATGGATAAAAGATTTTATCCTTAACTAAGGTTTTTTTTTTTTAAAGGAAAAAAGGGTATCTCAAAATGAAAGAAGAATATATAGAAGGCTGCATTAAGCAAACACGGTTATGAAGGCCAAAAAGCAAACTCATGTATTTACTATGCTATGTAACAGATCCCATTCCAGTGAAATTCACTGAGTTACTAAGGGGATGCAGGGCTCAATCAGTACCCGCTGGCCCGTCCTTGCTCTCCTTGGAAGCACAGTGGCAGTGACTGGGGAAGAAAGAAGCTCAATCCAGTTATGTAATTGAGGCCAGCCAGACTCTAATGTGTACTGGCTCTGATCCACACATGATATCTGAGAAATGGTGAATCAATCATCTTCCATGGCTTCCAGAACTGACACCCACCAAGCAGGTCAGTTCTGCTGAAGGAAGCAGACCAGCAGCAGGGAGGAGCCTGAACCTTGGCACCATGAAGCCCTTAAACTGTACTTCAACCAACCTCCAGTTCTCTGGAGAGCTACACTCAGCTCCACACGATGCAGGTCTTTGTACTCTGTCATGACCTAGGCATAGTGATACCTCCAGCCTTCTCCAGTCACCTACAACCATGAAGTGACAGAGACGCTTCTTCATGACTAGCCCGCAACCATCTCCCTTTACCCTCAGCATGACTAAGTCACACAGGTTTTCCTGACTGAGGACTCAATTTAGTCTCCTACCCACAGACATCTGCTATTGAGATCCTACAGTATCCCAACTGGTCTTCAACTGCTGCACCAGAAACTCACAGTGCTCCCACAGGTCTTGCAAATACTATGTGAATGTCTCAGCTAATCTACAGTATTGTCTCCTGACAAGTCTTCCCTATCTTTCTCATAGCTAACTGTGGATTTGATTCAGTTTACATATATAATTTATGGTGGTGAAGAGAAGTTACTTCATCAGCTCACAAGAGAGGCAACGCTACAGCACGCTACAAGAATTTAGGAAACTCAATCTGCCATGACTACACCTTCTAAAAGCCTGTACATCCTAACAGACATTGATGTAAATAGACACTAAGTAGACCCAATTGGGCAAGAATGTTAATTAAAGATTTTATTACTTTTGCTAGGTAAATTACATATGTACATGGGTTCTGAAAAGTCAGTATATAAACCAGGTATATATTGATATTACTTATATATATTATTTACTTCTGTCTACCACTTATTATCCTATGTACTTAGTGGTTTAATTTCCACTCTGATTAATGGATATCTTGAATTCAAAGATTCTTTTGCTAAAATATAATATTAAACATACAATTTTGAAAAACTAAGAATATGCTGAGCTAAAAATATGTTTCAATAATATGAGATTCCCACTCAGGTTTGTGTTAAGGATTCATTATCAACCAAGATATTTGACTGGAAACCAAAAGAGAAAAGAAAGGAATTAACAATGAGAAAGAAAACAGGGATTCCTCCTAAGACTTTACATAATCTTTTTAAATAGTTTTCATGGTTTTTTTTAAATCAATATTAATTATAGTACGTGATTTTGAAGATAATTTCCTGATCCAGAAAAACAGTATAGCAAAACAAAAGGGTGGATCAAACTCTCTCTGGACCAAAACCAAGATGTAGATGCAGGGTGAGGCAGAAAGAAGAAAGTTTTTTTTAATACAGAAAATTACTTCCATTCTTAAAAAGCAGCTCAAAACAATCACACATAACACTGAAGGTAGTAATGTTTTGTACTGCACACAGGAGTTCAACGGGCGTTATCATAAAGAATGTACAAAATAAAAAGATTGTCTCCTCATGCATTTAGCTTGGCTTATTTGACTGGGCAATTTTATTATATTTGTCCTTTCAATTTGCAAAGCTTATTCTGGGAATGATTTTTGTGTTAAATATTTTTAAAGTATGACACAACGTTTTCATTTTTAAGTAGCAATATACACCACTTACAAACATAGCAGTGAGAAAGCTAGTTCTTTAAAAAGGTACTAAGTGGCTAAAAGCCTAAAACCATCAGACTTTGTAGTCATGTAGCTGTTAGTGAGCTCCGTCAGGTTCTTAGGTACATTGGAGACAAGTCATTTCAACTGTAAAGATAATATTCACGGCACAACACACATTTAAGATTAATAATTCATTCTCCATGAAGCCACTAATTAAATGGACATTTTCTCCACTTTTGGTATAATCTCAAATATCTTATTTGATTTTTATTTTTCACTTCATCATTGTTGACAATCCCATCTTTAAAATGCCTACTTATTTTTACCGAGGTTAACATGAAAAAAATATTAAACATTGAAAAACTGTCAATTAAGTTGTTGGATTTGGTATCTTAATGTGAAGATTAGGAACAGTTTTTTGAAACACAAACCTGAGGTAATTTTTCTGGAATAGGCTCATTCTGGAGAACTTGAAGGGCTTTCATTGCAGCGTTATGTCTAGCAGCTTGACGAGTCTTTCCTTCACCAAAAAACTCACTGTTGCCAACAGTTAACTGGACGTAGAAAATTTTAGGCACTGGGCAGTGATACCTGGAAAGAAGTAATGGAAAGAAAACAACAATACAAGTTACGAATTTTAACCATCAATTTTATGTAATACAGAGCTGTAGTTCAGGATAAAACATTATCTTTTCTCACAGAGTAAGACCTAACACTCAAATACATGGATTGTTCCTCATCAAGGTCATCAGTAACTCTGAGGGTAGCTCCTACATGCAAACTGACTCTTCAACCACATTTGCAGGGGTCTGCAATGAGCCCTACTGTACTTCAGCCCGACAGCCCAGCTCTGTTCTCGGTTTGAGTCTTGAGGTCAAATATAAGGAGATCAGAAAGCTCCAGTGGAAGCCATGCCTGGAAGACAACTCCTGTCCCACAGAAAGGTGGCATGGAGGAAGAAGGATTGTGAGGTCTCTCATCTAAAACATGCTGGCATAGCTCAGCTCTTAGGGACAACAAAACGTCAGACAGCAGAGGGTCAGGGACCTGGAACGTACTTCTAGCCTCTTTTTAGAGCTCAAGTATTGAAATTGTCGTAGAGGATAAGGAGAAGCTCTCTTCCAAAAGTGTAACAGAGAAGCTCTCCTCCAACACGGTAATAGCCAAACATTTTCCAGGCACTGAAAGAAAAGCAGCAATCACCACCACATTATTTTCCCTTTTTTTTCTGTCCTTCCTACAGAAAAATTTCCAAATATAATGACAGCGTTTGTTGTTCTGAGTATGACACGGAAAGAAAGATAATGCAAAAAATTGAACGTTTTCCTATGAACTGGCACAGTTATTTCCTCAAAGAAAGCAGTATCTTTATACATATCATCAACGCCACATCTCTATTTTCAGTAATAAAAATAGCTAACCCAACCCATACTCCCTACCCTGAAACCTGTCTCTCGCTAGCAGCAAATGAAGAGACGTAATTCCATTCTAGGGTTTGGGAGGTCCTGTCACAGCACTGTGACAACTACAAACGTAAGAGCTTGTCCACATAAGCAGTTTCTACAGGAAAAAAGTACTCCATCACCCTGCCAGACTCAGAAAAAGCAAGTCAGCACAGATGATTCGTTTTCATCACTGTTAAAATTATAATCTTTTAAGAGAACATTTCCAAAGAAAGTTCTCCCATTATACTCTACCTAGGTGAGCGAATTTGCTTCATACTCTTCGCTCTGTGGTCT